CTGTGCCACAGATGGGACTCAGAAGAGTCCAGACCCAGACTTTGAAGTCTGCTTGCACAACTTATGACTTGCGAGGCTCATGGGATGAAACGAATTTATTCTGTATGTGAGGAAGATGTGAACTCTGGGGGTCGGGGGAAGAGAGTGCTAACGTCGCAATGAGTGTGTCTCTGTGAAGATTTGCACTTCCACAGGGCGACAGTGTTAAGAGGTGGGGCCCTTAGGGGGAGGTCTGTTCCCTCGTGAGCGGGATCAGCAACCTTATCAAAGGGTCGGGGGTGGGGGGGAACCAGTCACCAGTCAGCCTCCTTGCCTAACCCTAACCCTAACCCTAACCCTAACCCTAACCCTTCAGCCTCCCTGCTGTGGGAGGCAGCAAGTTGCCAGCTTGGAAGCCATGGCTGAGCCCTCCCCATTCCCATAGCCTGCCAGGGCCTTGAAGTATGTGTTGTGTGCAGATGACTGGGTTGAAGGTGTTCTGTGATAGCAGACCCGAGAGGTCTCACACAGTACCCATCGCTGTTCTTTTGCAAGAACGAGCACCACACCCTCGACGTCTGTGTTGGGTCAGTACTCCCACGCTTCTCTGGGGTCTCGCTCTCAGGCGTCTCAGCAGGGAGCTGGACGGGAAGTGGAGCGGCGGGGACTTGAACTGGCGCCCATATAGGATGCCGTGCTGCAGGCATCGGCTTAACCTGCTGTGCCACAGCCCCAGGCCCTGGGGTCTCACCCTCTTCCTGGTTCCCCCACTTTCTCATTGGACCCTTCTCTATGCAAGTGTCAGCTCAAATGCCTCTCCTGACCCCCCAGATGCTGCACGTCCACTGATGGCATTTACAAGGCTCACGATGACGTCCTTGTGTGCGCCACAGTGGATCCCCACCGCCCTCCACAGGCTGCATCTCCTGATTGGGCAGCCATCCCATCTCCTCTGTGCTGCTCTGCGTTCATGCTTGATAGGCAGCTGTGTGCCTGGCACGTGTGTGCAGCAAGCTTGGGGGAAGGAGGGACAGCGGGGTGAGGGGGTGAGGGGGTGAGGAGGGCTGCAGGGGCCAACACGAGGAGGAGGCGGCTTCAGGAATGTGCCGGCTCTGCAGACGGGATACCCCCATCAGAAGTGCACTCTGGAGGGCGGGAATGACGGCTAAGGTCAATGCAGCCATCCCTCTCGCAGGCTGTGAAGTCTGGGGTTGGGCAAGGGTGGACTGAGACGTGCGCCCCACACGGACCAGGGATTTAGGTGTCTGTTTCCACCACCATCCTTGGCTCATGGCTGACATCCTCAAGATCTGAGATGGTGCTTGGAATCTCAACTCACAGGGGTCGGACAGGAGGGCAAGGAAGCCCATGCCCCACTTGTCGTTTGTAGTTAAGTCTCCTTTTACAAAGCCTTAAACAAAAGGGATATTTGTTTGAAAGGAAGAGTCAGAGTGGAGTGAGAGAGTGAGAGAGCACCTGCTTTCCGAGGTGCATTGGTAGGGTGCTGGATCGGAAGTGGAGCAGCCGGGACTGACTGGCACTCCCACCGGGGATGCTGGTGTCTCAAATGTGGCCTTGATCTGTGCTCCACGATGTCAGCCCCTTTGTGAAGCCTTTCAAGGACTCCCACCTGCCCCCACATTTATGAGTCATAGCTAAGTTCCAGGCGTCACTCAGCTGGAAGTTGCTGACGTGTGTGTGTAGGGGAGGGGGGCTTAATGCTGGGCAGTTTGCAGTTGGACGACGTGGTGGGGATGATGCCATGTGACGAATGACTGCTGCAGACACGAAGACCAGAAATGGGGTGTCGGCACCTTGCTGGGAGATGCCGAGGTTCCTGATTAAGACAAAACTCATGAGGTTTGATGAAGGGGCCAAAGGGTCCTCGTGGGAGGGGCTACAGGGAATTTGAGGACTCTTCTTACTGGTGTGCTTCCAGACACTGTGCCTGCTGGTCCAATGTCACTTAATAGTTTTTTTTTAAAAATATTTATTTTTTTTTTAAGATTTACTTATTTGAAAGTCAGAGTTACACAGAGAGAGGAGAGGCAGGGAGAGAGAGAGGTCTTCCATCTGATAGTTCACACCCCAATTGGCCACAACAGCCAGAGCTGTGCTGATCCGAAGCCAGGAGCTTCTTCCAGGTCTCCCATGTGGGTGCACACGCCGAGGGACTGGGGCCATCTTCTACTGCTTTCCAGGCCATGGCAGAGAGCTGGATCGGAAGTGGAGCAGCTGGGTCTTGAACTGGTGCCCATATGGGATGCCAGTCCCTCAGGCTATAGCGTTAACCTGCTGTGCCACAGCACTGGTCCCTAGATTTATTTATTTGTAAGGCAATGTTACACACACACACACACACACACACGGAGGGAGGGAGGGAGGGGGGAGGGTAAGGGAGGGGGAGAGAGGAAGGGAGAGAGAGAGAGACAGAGACAGAGATAGAATGACTGAATGAATCATCCATTGGCCAAGGTTGGGCCAGGCCAAAGCCAGAACCTTCTGCTGGGTCTCCCTCCTGGGTTGAAGGGGCCCAGGTACTTGTGTCATCCTCCGTTGTTTTTCCTAGGCCATCCCCAGGGAGCTGGATCGGAAGTGGAGCAACCTGGACAGGAACCAGCACCCTTCTGTGATGCCAGCACTGCATGTGGCAGACGTCATGCTTGGCCCTTGTTTAATATTCTTCTCATTGAGCTCAGCGTCACTGTGAGTTGATCTCCTTTGTGCACCTTGAAATAAACTAAGGCAGAGTAATTTATTCTTCCACATCTAAGCAGGACACATAGTATTTTTTAAAAGCTTTATTTATTTGAAATGTACAGTTACAGAGGGAGAGAGGGAGAGAGAAGGAGATCTTCCGTCTTCTAGTTCACTCCCCAAATGGCTGCAATGGCTGGAGCTGGGCTGATCCAAAGCCAAGAGCCAAGAGCTTCTTCCGGGTCTCCCATCTGGGTGCAGGGGCCCAAGCACTTGGGCCATCTTCCACTGCTTTCCCAGGCCAGAGCAGAGAGCTGGATCGGAAGTGGAGCAGCTGGGACTCCAACTGGTGCTCATATGGGATGCCAGCTCTACAGGCAGTGGCTTTACCCGCTATGCTACAGCAGCGACAAATATTACTTTTGAAAAGATATTTCCAAAGGTGTATACTGTGCTTCCCCAGCCCCACTCCCGGCTGTAAGTTTAAGATAGCAGCATATAGAAGACATTGCTTAGGGGTCATCGCTGTGGTGTAGCGGGTTAAGCCACTGCCTGCAGCCTGGCATCCTACATGGGCACCTGTTTGAGTCCTAGCTGTTCTACTTCCAATCCAGCTCCCCGAGAAGCAGTGGAAGATGGCCCAAGTCTTTGGGCCCCTGCACCCTTGGGAGACCCAGAAGAGGTTTCTGGCTTTGGACTGGCCCAGCTCTAGTGGTCATGGCCATTTGGGGAGTGACCCAGCAGGTGGAGGACCTCTCGCTCTCTCTCCCTCTCTGTAACTCTACCTTTCAAGTAAAAGAAATAAATCTTTTTTTAAAAAAAGGACATTGCTTAGTAAGTACCAAACATACCTTGTTTACATGTGCAGGCAGTTCTTTGCTTAGAGACACTCAAGCCACACACAAGCCTCCAAGTCAGAAAATAACACCCAGCGGAGCAGGTGGACGCTCTCTCCGTGCCACAAACCATCTGCGTCTCCTCTAGGCATTCCAAAACTCTCTTAAACTTAGCCTTTTTCCCTCTCCTATCATGCACATAAGACAACTTGGCTTATTTTGAACACACCAATCTTATTTTACGGAAATTGGATTGCTAGAAAATATATCCAGAAACCTAACCAAGAAGATAAACTACTTCCAGATTTCTGGAATACTTTGGTTTTTCTGGGAAGACAGCTGAAGCAAATTACAGTGTTTTATTAATAGGCCCTTACTGGAAGTCTGAAGAATCACTAATTCTCCTGGGTTCACCACGGACAGTGCACCCTGCCTGCTCTCCCTGTTCCTGAGTGAGCCCATCTTCTTGCTCATTGATTTAGTGCTGCAGCTTGGGGCTCTAACCAGGCTGCTCCCTTGACCTTGGCAGTGAGGTGGGGAATGTGCATCTCAGGTGTGACATTCGGAACTCAGGGGGGACTGGCCAGCCTGCACGGGACACCTGCAGTGGCAAAGCTCTCCTCTCGGTCAGACCTGGAGGGCCCTGTGTAGAAACCCATGCTTCCAGGAAGGGCCAGTGAGGGTTCCTACAGGACACAGGATGGCTGCAGGCTCAGGACAGCCACCTGCTGTGCTTTGTGCTATGTCCACTTCCGCTCGGTCTCCTAGCCACGACCTCTTTATCCAATCTGTCTCTGCATTGCTTTTTTTTTTTTTTTTCCTCTTTAACTTAATAGTGCTGGTCTGCTTATTCTGCCAAGGAAGTAGACTACAGGGGGCTGGCTCTGGGGTAAAGGAACCCTAAAGCAGCTTTGGCAAAACTCAAGTGACCGAAGTAGGAGCTGAGAGCTAGCCTGGAACCACCCCTAGTTCAAGATTCTCCATCTCCCAGTCTTTGGAAACCATCACAATGTCACCTGTAGCCACCATCGTGGGTCTTGCAAATACTTTAAAGGAAGAAAAGCAACACCAGCCATCTCAGTGAGTGGCACGCCTCAATCAAACGCCACAGCTTCACGCCAGTATTTTACTGTGTTAGGAAAATAACTCTGGGCTGGTGCTGTGGTGTAGTAGGCTTAGCCTCTGCCTGTGGCGCCGGCATCCCATATCTGAGCTGGTTAAGTTTCTAGGCTGCTCCTCTTCCTATCCAGCTCTCTGTTGTGGCCTGGTAAAGCAATGGAGGGTGGCCCAAGTGCTCTGGCCCCTGCACCCATATGGGAGACCTGGAAGAAGCTCCTGGCTCCTGATCTGCCCAGCTGTGGCCGTTGTGGCCATTTGGGGAGTGAACCAGCAGATGGAAGAGCTCCCTCTCTCCACCTGTCTGTAACTCTACCTCTCAAATAAATAAATCAAATCTTATAACAAACAAACAAACAAACAAACAGCTGATAGGGTTGATCAGAAGATCTGGCAGTTTTTTAAGTTCTTAAATGCCATGGGTCTAAAACAAGCAAACCACCAGGGAAAAGCAGAGACCACACGTGGGTGATGACTAATGCGTCACTCGGCTCACTTGTAGAAACAGTCAGTTAGAGTGCATGTCAAGAAGCTGAGGTTGTTCCTAATGTTAATCTCATCTGGTCCCATTCTTAAAGGCCACGGGTGGTGGGTCCCCTCCAAGGTCACGTGGTCGGCCAGAGCTTCTTCGCCTCTGCCCCTTGGGCTCTTCTCTAGGACGTGGCTGACCCTCAGGCTCTAGGGAGGGAAGACAAGACAAGAGGGCAGCGCCTGGTGAGTTCTGAGACAACGCCGCCCTCCGTACCTCCAGCCAGAAACCGAGGTGAATCAGGAAATGGATGGCCTTTTTCAAGTCACATGAATCAGCCCCCCAGGAGTCATCATCTTCACCGCCACTTTGTGAGCTCCCTTTTCCCTAGAGCACTTCGGGGACAGAGTTTTTATTTGCAGAGGAACTAAACGCTGTTTAAAAACAACCCTCTTCCATTTTCCTGTGATAGCAGCAGAACCTTTCATGTGGGCAGCTCCTTAGTGAGCAAAGCCTTTTTAACAGGAAAAAATCATTTAGGAAAGGAAATACTTGTGAATACTTTAGCATAATTTTATTTAACGAGAGCTGACCGAGGCGCTGGCTCCTGGCTGCGGGGCTCCCCTTTCACACAGCCTGTCTCCTTCACCGCCCACACCTGACTCCTCCCCGCCAGCCAGGTTTCAGGGGTGGGTGGGAGCTCTCTAAATGAACAGACTCGCTCAAGAAACGGTCCCCAGATCCGGGGGGCAAAATCCCGTCCTCGTTTTGGGTCCCCTGCACTTTAAGGATGGGCTCTAAGTTATTTGATTTCGTTCCCTGCTTATTAGCAATTTGCGGCTCATTATCAGCAAAATGTCTTTTAATGATGCTTCAATGCGGCTGTAAAGAGTAGCACTAGCCCCCCTTCCCCCAGGTACTTAATTTATCCAGTTAAATGCCTTATCAGCCCTCCTTGGTTATGCCACAGAAGGCTATTTTCTTCCCACTGCTCTGCCTTGCATGCCAAGAGTTGTTATTTATTATTTACTCTTTTGAAGTGCTAACTGTTAAGCACACGTTGGGAGGCAAGAACAGGGTTGGCTGAATACATTTGGGTCCTCATTTCTGTTTCCCCTGCCCTGGCCGCACAGGTCCTGGAAGGCAGAGCTGCAAGGTTCCAGCGAAGGCAGTGTTCCCCCGGGCCCGCCCTCTTTCTCCCAGGAGCCTCCGTGCCACGTAGGCAAGAGAAGGAGAATGTCAGGAATGGCGCGAGCGCCCCACGGGCCACGCTCAGACGGGAGCCGCGCTAAGTTTTCCATTCAAGTCCCCAGAAGCCAGCAGCTGCCACCCGCCAGCCTGGCTGCCAGCAAAGTGTCCCCGAGAGGCCGGCCCAGCTACTGAGACTTCCTCCCAGTGAGGACTTGAGCGTCCGAGGCAGCTGGAGCACCAGTGCCCCGACAGGGCACTTGGGGAGGCCCGCGCTTTTGTGGAAACCTGCAGAACTTTGAATTGCTTCATACAAAACCTAGGCCATTTGCGTTTCCACGGCCCTGCTCTTGGGGCTGCGTGGCTCCTGTATGAGTTCTGACACACTCAGGCCAGCAGCTACCCCGAGCTCCAGGGACCCTCGCGGTGCCGGCGGGCCCCACCCAAAGCTGCAGGGGCGCCCGCGTGCGTGGCGCGCGCGGGCATCGGTGCACCCTCGGGGCGGGTTAAGGGGGGGGCACTCATGTGTTTCCTTATGCAGGAGCTCCTGAAAGCCACCCTCTGAGGCTCAGAGGGGGAAAACGGCCCGAGAGACCGCTGCATCCCCGCATGCAGAGGGAAAGGGTCCCGCGCGGCCATCGGGGCACCGGACCCGAGTTTTACGCACGCCTCATCTTCCCACTCGCGGTCTGCGCAACTGAAAACCCAGCGAGGCCGACCCCTCCCCACCGTCTCCTTGAGAGGCGCGGGAGCCAAAGTAACAAAGTATGAAATTAAAGGCGTCTTCAATGATGCTTTATTTGCTTTCCAATTCCAGTTTTTTCCATCTGAGTACTTCCTCAACAAGGCCCCAAGAGCCCGGCAAAATGCAACAAGTAGTATCAGTCCCAGGACTGACTGCGTGCCCCTGGGGCTCCGCTCGGCCTCCTGGGCACCCCTGGACCTGCAGCTCCCGTGTGTCCAACGCCCTGATTTAACCTCGCCGACATCGGCCCAAAGTCCCCGGCACCCTCACCCCCAAGTCTCTCCTCCAGCCCCCGCCAAGGAGTTCCCTGCCCGGCACGCAAGGAGCGGGGTGGGGAAATCTCCTAAATACAACATCTCCACCCCTGAGCGCCCCCAGACCCGGATGGCCCCTGCCCACCCTCCACGCGGCTGGATTCGGCCGAGGGGCGCGCACGTACCTGGAGCCGAGGCCGGCGGAGCGGACGCGCCACGTCGCGGGGCTCGGCCCGCGCCGCCTGCAGCCCTTTATACTGCCCCCGCCCCCCACCCCGTGTGGCCACGTCTGAGCCGCGGGACGGGGGCAGGGGGCCTCAGATGGCCTCTGCGGGGCCGGGGAGGGGGCCCCCGGGAAGCGCGCGCTGGGGCCAACTCCAACCAGCGAGGCGGCAGTGGGGCCCCCGGGGTGCAGTGGGGCGCCCCCGCCGCGGAGGGGGTCCCGTCCCAGGCAGAGGCGGGTCGGGGGAGGGGCCCCAGAGGTCAGGCGCGGGGTGGGGCGCTCGGGTTTCACTCGCGCGGGGAGGGGGACGAGGAGGAGGAGGAGGCGCGGCGGCGGGGGCGGGCCGGGGGCGGGGCGAGGCGGCCCCGAGCTGCCCGCCCCGCGCTCCAGCCCGCGCGCCCCGCGCCGCTCTACTCGCCGGGAAGGCGGCGCCGGCGGCGGCTGCTCTCGCTGCGCCCGCTCCCGCGCGCTGCCTCCCGCCGCGGGTGGGCTCCGCAGCCCCCTGCCGGCAGCCGCGACCCCGCGCCTCTCCCCGGCGGGAGGCTGACCGGCGCGCGTGGCTCCCTTCTCCCAGCCGCGGCTCTCCGGTGGAGCTGGCTCGGGCACCCAACTTTGCCATCTCTGCTGCGGTCCCCGCTCAGTTCGAGCCTGCCCCCTCGCCGGCCGGCCGCGAGCCCGGGGACCGTGCGCCTGGCGGCCCCGCGCGTGCCCCCAGCCCGGAGCGCCGCGGGTAGGGGGCGGCGGCGGCTGCCTCGACTTCTCTCGCCCGCTCTGAAGCTTGTCCGGCCGGAAGCTGAGGACGCTCAGGGCGCCCAGGCGCTGGATGCCCGAGCGCGCCCTGCACCTGGTGAGCGACCTCCCTGCCCGGTCCTGCCCGCGCCGGGGGCGGCCGCGGTGGGCTGGGGGCGGGGTGGTGTGGATCTCAGCTGCGGGCACCTGGGCCGGGGACAGCCCAGTGGCTGCGCGTGCAGGATCGGGGCCGCCGTCTGTGCGGGGGCGCCCGCAGTTGGGCTACTGCACGAGCTGGAAGTTTGCGTCCCCGCCTGTGGCGAGCTCCGAGCGTGCAGAGGTAAGCTGCAGGAGTGTCCTGGTGGCCGACGGGCGGTGGACGAGACTGCCCCCCGGCCCGGCGCCCCCGAAAGGCTCCAGGCGGAGGTCCTGCGCGCGCGCGCGCACGCGGCCAGGCTCGCTCAGCCTGGAGCCTGGGGCTGGAGGCCGGGCGCGGGGGGCCTCCTCGCAGCCCTGAGGACTTGGGCAGGTTCGCAGGCTCTCGCGACTGGGGGCTTCGCGCGGCGCAAGTCGGGGGACGGTGGGACTTGGGCGCAACTCGGCGGGGGCGCTTTGGTGAATGAGGGGGCCCCAGGCGCGGGAGGCGGATCCCGGGGAGCCGCCTGCCAGGTGGGCTGCAGCCAGGCAAGGCCGGTCGCGGGAGTCTGCGCCGCTGCACGGCTGGCACTCCCGGGGCTCGGAGTTTCGGGGCCCGAGGCAGATCCGGACCGCGCAGGAACCGTTCCTCCCCGGAGGGTGCGGCGCCCGGCCCAGCGCGGTCCGCTGCGGGCTCGCGGGGCGTTGGCGGGAAGCGCCTTCGCCTCGCGGTCCCAGCCCCGCTCGCTTTGTACCTGGATGCGGCTGCCCGGAGTTGGGATTTAACTTTCCTGCGCCTGCGGCGTTCCGGGGACCCCCGGCAGGGGGCGCTGAGAGCGAGCGCTCGGAGGGCGAGAGGATGGCGACCGGCTGTGGCTCCGCGCTGGCTGGCTGGCTGGCTGGGGTGGGTGGGGGTCCCAGGCTGCACTGAGCGGCACCCGGCCGGTCTGGCAGGAATTCCCTAGTGCGGGAGCTGGGGGCCGATGCGGCGCCTTGCCAGGAGTAGGGACAGGGGACGGGGCGTGCCAACACCAGGGGTGACTGTCGCTCTGACCGCGCAGCTGTGTGCGCTGCTGGCGCCCGCTTCTCCCTGGCAGCACCTTAGCCACACGCCAGGAGCTGCAAATGATTGTTGCGACTACGTTTAAGAAACGCAGTTGTGTGTCACGGTGGGCCAGGAAGGGCAGTGTCCCAGCTGGGAGACGGCAGATCGGTTATAGTTGTGGACTTCTGGTCTTTCGTAAGGAGGCTCAGAAAGAGCAGACAGTGAGAGATTTTCCAGGCTCTAATCAGGGTTGTTGAATTGTTAATTAAGGCCGGTTCCTCTATGCAAGAGAGGGCGGAGCTTAGTAGGTCTAACTTGGAGCCACCAGTTCACCATTACGACTTAACCAGGCACCTTAAGTTTTTTACAACCGCAGCAACTTCGTATTTGTGCTGATGCTTGCCTCCAAGAGAACATGGATTTTTTTTTTTTAAACCCCCAACGATTTCTTTTTCCTTGTTAGTTTTGCATTAAAAAAGGAAACCCAGTTCTGGGTGTGTTTGGTCTACTGGAAACAGATTTGTTTCCTGAACTTTCTAGCCTGTGAAATCTGGGGAGGTAGACGCAGCCTGAGGTCACACTATGTGTTCCTGTGCTTGGACCCGCGGGGCTGTGCCACTGGGGTCTCCTTTTATGTGCTCTCGGCCAAGATGGATGAGGCTAATCCGCGTGTGCTTTTTACGAATTGCACTGTGGCTTATTTGGTTGCTTTAATGGCAAACAGCTGCAAGATCCCTGCTGCGCACAAAGGCTTTGGTCTCCTGGGTGGTACAGCTCGCCTCTGTCCAAAGGAAGTTTTGGAGATGTTCAGAAGTTGGTAAAAATAAACCTGCGTCCTTCCTCCCCTGTGCAAGCGATTCCCTCCCCACGTCTGGAGAGAATGAAACAGAGGCAGTTGCAGCGCTGAGGCTGGGAGGACGCGTGGGCCTCGGGAATGCCATGAATAGAACAGGTTCCTGCAAACTTTTGCATGCGTGTTGGAGGGTTCCTGGGCCGTGGGAAGCCGGCTGCGGATCTGCAACAAGACATTTTGCTCCAAAGTCACTTTCCCCTCTTCCCCCGGGGGCGCATATTCAAACCAACAAACTTCTGTCTGTGTTGTGTACCAGAAAATCAGACGTGGCAGCTCCTTGGGAGTTAGGTGGCTGTTGCTGGTGTCAGAGCGATCGCAGTTTTAATTAACCTGGGAGGCTCTTTGTGGGGATTCCAAATGTCCATTCTTATTGGCCGTAAAGTCACTGAAGTTGAGGCGTTGCTTCTGACACCTATGCAGGAAACTGGGGGAGGAGGAACAGAAGGACTTTGCTGCAGCTCCAGCCAAAGGGATGGCAGCATTCCGTTACATAAACGACTGAACCCGCACTCCAGGGCTAACCAAGATCAGAAACGAATCCCAAGGCAGAGGTTTGGATTACAAATCATATGATGTGCACCATAGAACAAATTAATTAGTTTGCAATAAATGCCATTTTTGTATGCTATTATGTGCAAATATCTGAGAAAAGCGGTCCTACATTCTACATTAAGTCCTCTATAATTCTTGATTCTAAAATTGTACCAAATTTTTCTTTAAAAAAATGCTTCTGAAATTGTTGCTATAGTAACCCCGACACATGGCTTAGGGTATAAATTATAATTCCAAGGTGACATGTTTTTATGTTCAGTACTAAATAATGTTTAAAATGTAAATTACAGTGTCTAACAAATTGAGTTACAACAAAGGGCAAAGTGTCTGATGCAGAACCTTGTACACTAATGCCTCCTTGTGCCTAATTTGTATGGAGAAAGTTAACCATTTCCTGGAATTCTCAAATGACAGCGTCGGAGTTTGGAGCGTGGTAAACTGTCCTGAGTTCTTTGGTAGACAGCACAGATCCATGTTGCCAGTGCCTTTCTTGATTGAGATGCAGAAGTATGGCTGGAGGCGGCTGGGTTTTGGTTTTGCTTTGTTTTTAATCTCTCTGCGGCCCTGCAGAGTTGCTCTGTTGTAGGTAGGGGCTTTCCGCTGTTTCTGACCCCTGCCTGCGTCGGTAGCTTCATGGAGATCGGTTCAGCAAGGGAAGGACCAGCAGTTTGATGAAGAAACTTCTGATATCCACAGTAAAGCATCGTTTATTTCTTTGGTGAATTTTTTGGCTACCAGTTACCCACATACAAAAGTCAATTTCAGATAGCGAGAGAAGATAAAAAACATTGAAAGTGAGCTAGAGCATATGTAGATAAACTTCACCTTCAATGATCCTACCCCAGGGTTGTTGGATTCGGAATTGAAGCCAAACTGGACACAGAAAATGAGAACCCGAGCCAGAAAAGACGGTGGATCCTCAGGGCTTCCTTAGGACAGCCTAGCGTGGCCGCAGTCAGTCTTTGCCACCGTTTCACGGAGTACCGCGAAGCCAGACATCTTCAAAGTCAAGGTATACATCACCTGGGGCATGGCATTTAAAATAGGACCAATGCATCAGTGGGCTCAAGAAAACAGGCATTTTTTTCAAAGGAATTGCTGTTGCTGGTTGAGGAGAGCAAAGGTGGCCACTCTTTATTCCCGCTGCATTTTAACAAGGTGTCGGCCTCCGAGTGGCTCCATTTGAAAGAAGTAAAAACCATTCCACTTTGAGCTCCTTTCCCATCCAGGTACTAAAATTGGTTCCCTGATTAAGGTTGTGAGGGGTGGGGGTCTAGTTAAAAAGAAAATAAAGTTTTAGAGGAAGAATTTTTTTTTTCCTTTTTGGCCATGAACTCGCGAATCTTTTCTTTCTTTCGTTCTTGGTCACTGCGATTCTGACAAATCGGCGAACCTGGAGTTCGTGAGAACGCTGAGGGGCTATTCACTGGAGAAGTTGCATTCCATGTTGCGTCCTTGTGTGCATTTGAGAGTAAATTACATTACGGCAGTAGGTAATTCAGTCGGATACGTGGGATGAGTACCTGGGAGAGCGATGCTGTCACAGCACGTCTACTGGAGAAAGGAGGCCGTATTTGCTGGGATGTGAAATTAAGCAAGTTCTAGGCAAGCGACAGCCGGGACTGCGTGGGGACTACCCGTGCACAGGAAGCGGAGCCTCTGTCAGTTCACGTCTGCCCCACGTTTGGCAAGGATCCGTGAGACACATGTGGAGAGAAAAGCAGAGCCAAGGAAGAACAGAGGAAAAATCCTACTAAGCAATTTCCCATGATTTACATGCAAAATCATAAAATAGCAAGTGCTTGGCTGCCTCTGGTTCTTGTGACTCATAGGAGAGAGGCGCTCCTTGCAGCCCGGAGCTTCATCACGTCTCCCGGAGGGCCCCCACAGATGCCCAGGCCAGCCATCAGAGTCACAGCTGCCCGCCGCTGAGCACCTCGTAAACTGGGTGTGGAGAGGGCACGTCAGAGACCAGGGCCGTTTGTGCTCAGAGATCCTGGACCAAGTGGATTTTGGAGTCATACCTTGCTTCTACGATGCCTTTCTTTTTTCAATTTATTTTTTATTGAAAGTGGAAGGGGAAGGAGGCATGGAGGGAGAGGGAGAGGAAGAGAGAGAGAGAGGTCTTTCATACACCTGAAATACTTGCAACAGCCAGGGCTGGGGCAGGCTGGAGCCAGAAGCTCCATCCTGTTTTCCATGCATGGCAGGGACCCAAGTACTTGAGCCGTCCCCTGCTGCCTCCAGGGGTGTGCGTTAGTTTGGAAGCGCAGGTGGGACTCGATCCCAGGCACTCTGGTATGGGGTGCAGCGTTCCAAGTGGTGGCTGAGCCCTCTGTTGTCCCAATACCCGTCCCTGTGATTCCTTTGTGGGACCTGGATTTAAATTTGGGGTACAAGTGTTTCGGTTGTGAAACTTGAGGATGTTGTCTGTAACCGGGGGCATAAAGCGAAAATTGTTGACTTGCGTGTTAAGCGTTCTCTGTCCTATGGATACTGTCATTAAGACATTGTTCATGGCCAGCGCCGCGGC